TGGGACTATATCAAATTGAAAAGCTGTACAGCAAAGGACACCATCAGTCAGAACAAAAAGACATCCTACAGTATGGGAGAATATATTCATAAATGACATATCTGATAAGGGGTTGACATCCAAAATATACGAAGACCTCATGCACCTCAACAAAAAGCTAATAAGCCAATTAAAAAATGGACAGAGGATCTGTACAGACACTTCTCTAAAGAAATTCAGATAGCCAAGAGGCCCATGAAAAGATGCTCCAAATTGCTGATCATCAGAGAAATGCAAATTAAAACCACAATGAGATATCACCTCACACAAGTTAGAATGGCCAACATCCAAAAGACAAACAACAAATCTTGGCAAGGATGTGGTGATAGTGGAATCCTCCTACACTGCTGGTGAGTATGTAAATTAGTCCAGCCATTGTGGAATGCATTATGGAGGTTCCTCAAAATACTAAAAATAGAAATACCATTTGACCCAGGAATTCCACTCCTAGGAATTTACCCTAAGAATGCAGGAGCCCAGTTTGAAAAAGACAGATGCACCCCTATGTTTATTGCAGCACTATTTACAATAGCCAAGAAATGGAAGCAACCTAAGGGTCCATCAGTAGATGAATGGATAAAGAAGATGTGGTACATATACGCAATGGAATATTATTCAGCTATAAGAAGAAAACAAATCCTACCATTTGCAACAACATGGATGGAGCTAGAGGGTATTATGCTCAGTGAGATAAGCCAGGTGGAGAAAGACAAGTATATTATTTCACTCATCTGTGGAGTATAAGAACAAAAAAAAACTGAAGGAACAAAACAGCAGCAGACTCACAGAACCCAAGAATGGACTAACAGTTATCAAAGGGAAAGGGATTGGGGAGGATGGGTGGGAATGGAGGGATAAGGGAGAAAAGGGGGCATTACGATTAGCACACATAATGTGGAGGGGGGCACAGGGAAGGCAGAATAGCACAAAGAAGACAAGTAGTGATTCTATAGTATCTTACTACGCTGATGAACAGTGACTAATGGGGTATGTGTGGGGGGCTTGATAATAGAGGGAGTCTAGTTCCCATAATGTTGTTCAAGTAATTGTACATTAACGACATCAAAAAAGAAAAATCAATATCAACTTTCAAAAAAAAGTTACCAAGGGGGGAAACTAGGTGAAGCATACATGGGAACCTCTCTGAAGTATATTTCTAACTTCTTCTGAGTATGTGATTTCTTAAAAATAAAAATTTAAAAAGAAGACTAAAGCTATGGTGATAAGATGAAAAAGAGCAATAGTATCTAACATGTATTAGAAATGGGAATTGAAAATAAAGAGCTAGTGTTTCAAGTTTTCAAGCTGTACAAACAAATCTGAATCAGTACACTTATTTCACACATAATAATAGAGCAATTCACTGATGCTTCTAGATCAGTAAGTGTCCATTTCTAAAGAGTATTTCTTTTAGGGGTCAACTATCTCATTGAGAGGAAGAGGATTTACACATGCAAGTCCTATTAACATTAATTGGAGTTACCAGAGCAAATCCCCCTGCGGTGATAGGCAAAAAGACCCTACAGTCTACTAAGATCAAGTTCTAACGATTACCTGTCAAATGGTCTTAAGAGTCATCATAACCAGAAAGCGCAGACGTGGCAAATTGTGTAAGAAGGGCATCTCATTGCAGCCCCACAGTTAAATGTATTAATGGAAAGAAAAGTGGCCTTCAAAATGTGACATGGGATGCTAAGTGTTAAACCACTTAACTAGTGTTTTAAAAAAGCCATCATTAAAGAGGAGAATTCAAACATATCAAAGCACTTTAAAAAAAGTGTGAATACTCTTATGAGCTTCAAGGTCCTTGAAAGATAATACAGCTAACTTGTTTAAAAATTCAATTAACCTTATCTTTCTTAAATTTGATTTATGAATAATCTCACAGATAAATTACCAGTTTTTTTTAAAGTCCTGTTATCTTTTGAATGTGTCCTGAGAAGCTTTAGAAAACTGTTTGGAATTGACAGAAAATGTCACTGCTTTATTTGATTCAAGAACAAATCATAGTTCAATGAATGATTATGAATAAAAGAACATTAGCAGTTTCTTGTCTGTTGCAAGTAAGCTGTTGGGGGGCTCAACCTTGAGAGGAAAACATTTCAGATTCTCATTCACCAAGTAAATAAAAAAACATTCCAGATTCTCATATACTGAGATGTGAAAACAGTTTGTAGGCAACAATGTCCTGCAAAGCCATAGCCCAGCCTCAGAGTACTGATTTCCAACAGAATGAGATCTGATGCTGGCACCTGTGAATCCTTTGACTGCCTTTGTCAAAAACCTGGCATAGTTAACAGATGCCTAGAAACAAAACCAAGTACACAGCTGGACAATTAACTGTTTAAATGGTAGACTAACATCAACAAATAAATCAGTTTCAAGACAACATTTGATTTCTTGGCATATATACAAAATTTTAATATTAAAAATAGGATACCATTCCTGAAAGGCACTGAGGAGAGACTTTTATTTCCTCTGAAAACCGTTAGTGTGCAAATTATGAATCACATATTCATGCTTTTTGAAATGCATATAATTAACCAAGAGTATAGAGAAACATTATTCAATAACATAGCAAATACATTATTTGCAAAAAAATTGTTTAATTCCTGCTTTAAAGGATCACTACTATTTAGCAATCAAATTTCAGCAAATCGTTCTGAGGTCTTTATGCAAACTTTAGACAAAAGGCTGCGTTCTTGGGAACTATATAGCCTATGGAAGTTAATCAGTAGCATGGCCATTATTTTAGACAAAGGGCTGCCAATCTCAGAAACTACCATTCTAGAAGTTAGCCATTAACATGGCCATTTTACTATGGGCAACTAAATATCACAGGAGAGGGTAAAATTCTAAGTCAGTTTTACTATAGAAAAATATATGTTTGTTTATATATATATTTTTCTGGGCAGGCACACCAACCAAAAATACAGTAGCAACATAGGGTCAGTAATTGGTTTTCATATTCATCACTAAACTGAATGGTATCATTTTTGGTTAGTAAGAAGCATGCGTAATTAAACATTTTAAACACATGAATCAAAATTCTTTATTAACATTTTTCAATTTTTTTAGATTAGCTATTGAAATTTCTGCATCATGTACAACATATTAATTTTACTCATATTACTTCAGGCTTAGGTTTTACAACAAAACCAAAAAGTCTTTTTCTCTTTTAACTTAAAACTATGAAAAAAATATTTGCTGTATTAAGATAGCTGAAAAGAAAGCTCTTAGAATAATTTCTATGACATTTTGAGGCAATAGGAAATATACAAAGGTCTCCAACACAACTTTTTAACAGTTATAATATAATATCTTAACCATCACTAATCATTTTCAGGAGCTTTTAAATACTCAAGACAGATTATGATGGTGGCTAATGGATGAAATAGGGTACAATATGGGTTGGGCCATGACACCACAGACGATCTCCTTCATTGTTCTATAATATATAGCTGCAGTAAAGCTATCAGAATTTTCCTAGTTATTCTGGGCCTACCCTGACTTACTGTTTATATAAATATGCATACTGCATTCAAGAGCCCTCAACTCTAAAAGTAACAAACTACAGTATCTTAATTGGTACAACCTACTGCAATTGTATTCAGACTCAATACTCTTATAAAGTGGAATCTTTATATTGCTGGTATTGAGTGGGCAGGGCCAATACCTGGTGCTTATAAGTATGCATTGTGCATTTAGGCCATGCCATGGTCGGATTTCAGGAAACAAGATTTGACTTAAGCAAAGATCTGAATCCATACAACAAAGATTATAATGTGACTCTACTGTCCCTGATTTGTATAACATTATAAAAGGGGAAGAAAGGGAAACAAGGGACTTAAAGGATGGGGAAGAGGTTGCACAATGACCAGAGGGGTTAGGATTAGCCTGGGAGGTTGGGAAGATTTTCCTTTTATCTGGATTGAGCTATATCTCGGAGGAGGAAAGGTGAGGCAAGAGCTACATTCCTTGGATCTAGTTCCCATGAGCTTGTGGCCTGACAGATTTCTCAAATTGGGAGAGGTCAGAAGCCTTCAACAGCTGAAGCTTCTAAGAACCGTGTACTGTCTATTGTAGCCATGGCTCTCTGATTGGCAATATAGGCCAGACTGTACAACTTTTTACATATTTATTAAAATAAGGTGTTAAGTTCAAACCATTGCTCAAAAAAGTAAACCATCAAAGATTGGCATTTGGTAAAATTTTAATATAGTCATTGTCCCTGTAACTAGATTTGCTACTTATGTACAGCCCTAACATTTTTATGTTAAGCATATACTGGAGTTTACCAGTTCTCATACTCTACTCTGAGTCCTTGGTGGTTTCAGGTTTTCCTACCAAAAGAGGAATTAAGAGGAATTAATGAAGAATTAAGAGTGCTCTCCTTAAAATTCAAAACCACAATTCCACATGTTACTATGTTTACTGGCCTGTAAGACCACGAAATTAATACTGATTTAGTATTACAAATACATTTTAACTTTCTTTTAAAATTTAATGTAACAAAAACAGGGTGATCTATTATGTTGGGGGAGTTGACAGCAAGCACTTACTTGCTGCTAGAGATTTCTGATATTCACCCTCAAGACCATGGAAAAATTCTGAAACAATTTTTCTTCCAGAAAAACCATTCTAAGGATGGCACTGCATTTATCTTTAAAATCATTCTCATACAATAGGCAGGGTACTACTATTTCTACCTTACATATGGAGAAACTGAGGCCTAGGAATTAAACAATTTGCCTAATATCATCAGTACCATAGCTAGGACTAAATTAGGTTTACAGACATTTAGGGTAGTGCTCCAGTTACTAGACTAGACAGAATTTCCAAATACTGATGAGTCTTTCTAAATCTTCCCATTTCTTCAGTGTTGAATTTTCCTAGTGTATAAATGATGGATGTACAAATATCACTACTAACATTAAGAACACTGAGTAATGGACTCATGATTTGCTTGTAAAAATGTCTACTTTAATATTAGTATTTTCAACACTTCCAAGATAGAAAATAAAACAAACCTCTATTGCAAACATAGATTTCTACATAGATCATATTTTAGTTTTTCTTAACTGCATTTACATATGCTTTTATAATTTATGTCATGACATGCCTACCCATAAAGAAAATATAATTCAAATAATCAAAGGAAATATGTGAGCAGATTCTGAAGATGTGGCTTTCAAACAAAGATCCAAAGTGGCAAGCAACAGCTGTCCAATACCACAGAATTATTAACAATGCACAGGATCACTTTCATATCCACAGCTAACTTCCTGGGAATCAATCCATTTATTATAATTTTTAATCTGCTAATTCCACAGGTGTGGTATCTTAAAGCAGGCAAGTCAATGTGCTTTACAAGTGTTTTGTGTTTTTGGAATGTCCTCTTTAAGGAAAATCCCCTTTTGGATTTCTATGACCTGTTTCTCTTGGCAATTCTGCATGTCAAATAGCTGCTATTTTCTAACATTTTTCGAACAGTTCTTCCATCAAGAAGACTCTGAGGCCAGGAAGAATTTCCAAAGTGGAGTATCCTGTTTGGTATATATCCATTATTCAGAGGGCATCTGTGGATTTCCCAGGTTTGCATTTTCCTTGGGAGTCTTGGAGTTGGCCTTGGGTATGACACTGGATTCTGAAGCTTCTGGTTGCAAACTATCTCCATCAAGGATAATGTCTTCAGGATTAGGTGGAGGTGGACAGAAGTCTTCATTGGGACAGATTTTCTGGAAAAGTGTTTCAGCCTGGCCAGGGAACAGAAAGACACAATAGTTTTTGGACATTAGCTTAAAGCATATAGGCATTCCAGCACTGCTTAAAAAAAATGGAAGGATTACCCTTAAACATTTAAGTTATAGAAATTTATCCAGTATACATGACCTTGTAAAGCTCTGCTTTCAGAATTTTACAACTTTATTCCCTAATTCCAAAGATGCACTCAGGTCCACCCTTACAGTATATCAGTACCTGACTGGATTCTTTAGCAAGTGTTCAGATAGTTGAGACATTGAGGATATTCATTCCACATGTAAATACAACTGCGCTTAGCATTCTTTATATAATTTCCTATAAAGCCTGTTTGTGCTATCTGTACAGTCTAATTCAGCATATAATAACTATAATAAGTCATTGTTCCAATCAAGAAAATTCTTCATTGCTTGCTCATCTATTTGCTTTCGTGGTATAATTTTCCTCCACCCTGGGCTTTAAGGAATAAAGCACAGTGTTTAAGATCATGAACTCTGAACAGCCATGCACAACTGCTGGCTCTGCCACTTAGCAGCAATGCAATTTGGGAGATGGTTATGTAACTTCTGAGTCTTGTTTTTCCTTGTCTGTAAAATGACAGACTAAGCCTTTACATATGGTAGTTGTTATCACTGTTACTAATAACAACGTAAGTTAAAATGTCAAGATTTAAGAGAATAAGAAAGTAAATGTGATCTTTTAACAACAACAAATACACACACACACACACAGTCAATGTGGCAAGGAGCATTGCTGTTCTATTCTAAAAATATTCCTATTTCTATTTAGATGATTACAGCTCATTATTAGATAAGGGTTCCTGCCATGATAGGAAGAGTTCTATCCTACCAGTAAAAGAAAGTTATTAAAGGGTTTTAAGATCTACACTTGTTTTAAAGGCTCTGATGTCTTTCTGTACCACCTTGACCCTTCTTGCCAATGTACAGACAAGATCATTCACTAGGCTGGAAGTTGATAACTGTGGCCCACAGGCCAAATACACGCTTCTGCCTATTTTCGTAAATAAAATTTTCTTGGAACACAGATACCTATTTGTTTATCTAGTGTCTACGGCTGCTTCTGCACTGTGATGGCAGAGCCGAGTAGCTGCAAGAGAGCATATGGGCTGCAACATCCAAACAGTTCTTTCTGGCCATCTACAGCTGGTAGACTCCTGCATCAGGTGGTTAAAACTGATAATCTGGTTTCAGAGTGGGTGGAGGGATAGTACACAGAACATTTTGAGCTTTTATTGGAGTGAAGGAAGGGACAGAGAGAGAAAAATCGCTTCTTTCCTCTTGTGTACAGTGTATTTTTGGACATGACACTTTACTATGAATATTTTGAAACTAAATATTTGAGACACCTGAGCTGCTCCCTACCCTGGGAACCCACTATCTTTGCTAAAGACAGAGCCTCTAGGAGTAGGAAGACTGAGGTTAGACAGTGCCTCTATCTCACACTTCACTTCCTCTAATGGTCCTTTTGTGTTTTCTCTCTATAGGACTTCTCCATTCCCATCACTTTCTGCGTGCAACCAATCATCAAATCCCATGAATTTCATCTCCTAGTTCTTGACTCCATCTGCTCCCTCTCTACAGACACAGCCCAGGCACACACCATCTTTCTCCTAGACAACTGCAACATTTCACAACTGGACTGGACACCTTGCCTCTAGGAGTCCCCCATGTAATCCTTCTCCATGCTGCCCTCAGAGGGGTCTATGGAAAATGAAATTCTGTTCATGTCACTTTCTGGCTTAAAACTCTTAAGTGACTGCCCATTTCTAACACGATTAAAGTCCAAGATCCCTATTGTGGCATACAAAACCCTTCAGGCCTACGTTCTCTGGTTTTATCATTTAGTTAACCCCATCTCCACCTCTTAGACATTTTGCTTCACTAATACCTGTTCATTTATACTTTCCTAAAAACACTATAATGTTTCTATCCTGGCCTGGTGGGAATGCTGTAACACCTGAAATGTTTTGATTCGATTGTCTTCCATTTGGATCGGGAAAGGCTACTTATATTTTATAGCCTTCTCTGTAAGGTTCTCTGACTCCTAGATAGAGCTAATGGCTCTTCTATATACTTCCGGACTTTGAATATTATTCTATTGTTGCATAGACCACACTGCACTGTCATTTGTTTACATGTTTCTCTCCTTTACTAGACACTGATTCATTCAGGAATAAGAAGGACCTTGTTTTAGTCAACTTTGGATCCTTGGTACCTGGCATAGAATAGAATCTCTCTCTCTCTCTCTCTCTCTCTCTCTCTATATATATATATATATATATATATATATATTTAATGAATGGAATAACTTTAAAACTGTATGTTGTACAAATGTTGAATATAATACTAATTATTATTTTTGACACTTTTACTTCTCTTCTAGTTCCTCTGTGTCTCAGACCTTGTCTCCCTTCTGTCATGTCCCAGCAGAATAGATTTTCCCCTGAACCCCAGTCCCTGTGGCTGGATCCCACTCTGTCTTCATATATTCCCATCAGGAGCAATCTGTCTCCTAAGACTGCCAACCAATTGCAGGCTGCCACCCTATCCCCCTTTGTGCTCTACCTCTTTGTAGAGCAAGTACCTTCAGCCCATCTGCCACTTGCTCTTGCTAATGTTGATTTCCTCCAACCAAACTCCAGCCTTTCCCACATCTCTCTAACTGCTGGAATTTTTTAGGGTCAACTGCCATGTTCTAGAAAGTCTATCTAATGCTTCTTGTTCTGCTGCATTTCATTGGTCAACTGAGTCCCAGTTCTAAGAACTGCCATAAAGAGGTTAGTTCAGAGTAAATATCAATTTTTAGTACTCCTTGTCCTTTTTAAGCCAGATTTCATTTAAAGGCTAAAAAGAGTCTTATGTGGTTCAAAGAATTAAAGAATGCTAACTGTGACTTGCTTTCCTTGTATTGGGAAGTACAGAAAAGACAAGCCCAGTTATTTAGGATAGTTCTATGTTTATTTAATATACATATACACAAAAATAAATAAATATTTTGCCAACCTAGTAATTTAACATATTGAATGCACTCCATCATTGGTAAGATGCAAGTAGCATAGCACACTAGATGGGTTGTATAAACAACCCAGTGCTTGGAGTTGCATAGACTTAAGGTTAAATTTCGCTCACAAACTTACCAGGCATTTGACCTTTGGGCAAGTTATTTAGCCCCTTTGGGCCTTAGGTTCCTTATCTGTAAAATGGGGATGTCACAAAAATTTGCCTCATAGGGTTGCTGTGCAGACCAAGTTTAAGATAATATATAATGAGATACTTAGGATAGTGTCTGGCAAACATAAAATGCTCAATGAATGGCAGCTTCAGAAAATACACCTAAGATTGTGCTCTCCCTCAAAGGTTTAAGAACGTGAAAGATACTGCAATACATAAGAACTAGATAGTCCACATGGCCTAGACAGCTAGACTTCAACTTACAAATTCTGTACCGAAAGTCCTAAGTGAGTTTCTAATCTGTTCACAAAAACAATGCTGTAAACAGTGGTTAGGTTGCCAGCCCACATCAGTCAATTTAACCCATTTTATACCTGTAGTATAATACAAAGAGTACACTAACATTAAAACATTCTTGTTCCTGTGTGGTGGCAGCTTGTAGGGGATGGGGGTTCCCAAAGGAGGAGTGAGTTTTCAATGTCTTGGGAGTAGGGGACTATCCATAAGTCTGTTTATCGTATGTGTAGGTAAATGAGATACTACCTATACTAAGAAGAGAGACACCATATATCAGTTTCAGAAAAAAAATGAAGTAACAAACTACAAAAACTAGCAAGTCATAGAAAGCATCCCACTCTTCCTATGCTCACGTCATTGTGGTGATAATAGGGAATGTCCTGGTATGCTCCTACACAAAACTTTTAACATGCAAATATTAAACACAAACTGCTGCATATTTTCAGCATGCCTTCAAATCATAAACAATTTCATATGAACACATGGGAGACAGGTCTACATTATTCAACATCTATACATTTGCAAATAAAAGGAGCAGATGCAAACTTGCTCAACTGGTAAAATGAAGCATTTTATTTGTTCAAAAAAATCTGCAGGTGCTTATGTTTTCTACACAGCCAAAACCTAGGTGATGTTCTGAGAGCCTTTATAGACAATTTGGAGAATAGAAGTCATCAGTTAGTGACTGGGCTGAATATAGGATGATATACTGGAATTAGGACACAGTTTATCTGCATGAACTGGCTATTTGTAAATATTATTGATGCCCTTTAAAGTAAGAATTTTAATATTTCTTGCCAAACTGACATTGGGGTAAAAGCTATATAACAAGCTTAAAACTACTTATATGTAATAGCATATAATAATTAATGCCCAAAGTAGCATTATCACTGTTTTCTACTGTGCTAACTCGTGAAGCCTATCTTCTTGGGAGCAAATTACCTTGTAAAATTATCCTTTGATTATCATCTCGTTTGCAGTTTAGCTCCCACAGCACTTTTATAAAAGCCCTTACTTAAAAGGCCTTCCTTTTTGGTTAAAAAAACATGGAATTTCCCTCAGGAATAATAATGACCTAAGTTACCTGGCTGAAAGCCTGTTGGCAATTTCTGCATGGAAAAACTGGAACACTGTAATGAAAATGACTTGGTCATTTTAAGCCATAAGTGTAGATCTTGAACCACTCTGGGCTCCTAGTAAACAGTATAAATGATGGATGAGAGCTGTGACTTCCTGCTTTTGTTTGTTATAACTGGCCGAACATGATTATCCAGTATCACCATGAGACTCTGAAGTTGAGAAACAAGAATTTGGTAAAAACTGTAAATGTATGGGTCATGACTTTCCTGCTATAAGTAAAAATTAGATTAAAGGCTCAATGAGGCCATTCACTCCATAAGATCTCTGCCACTAGTGGAAATGAAACTTCCATTCTGTGATCTTAAAACAGTATTAAATTATCTTTACTGGTTCAACAGACAGATATGCCAACTGTATCTGTGAAAAGTTTAGACTTGTGCCTCAAAAAATGGTATTTTCTGCTCTTCTCTTCCTGGCATGTGCAGAGAAGTGTATTTGTATATGCATATGACTCTTCAGCTGAATGGACTCATGGGTCACTTTTGGCAGCTGGTGTCGGCCTGCACTAAACCTCTTCCACCCGGCTTAACATACTCCTCAGCAGCTATAAGAGTAGCTCTTGGGACACTGGCTTGTGTCAAAACATTAAAGGAATTATGTTAATTGTGAAAAACTAAGGTCCATGTTCTTTTCTAAGATAAGAAAATGCCTTAAGACCATTTTAAAATTACTTTTTGTATGCTTTGCTAGTTATACTCCTTTTGAAATGACCCAGGTTATCAGAGAAAAAAATTTGTGTATTTCAAATATACCGATAGGCCAATGGTTGAAATGAGAAGCAATGTTTCTTTAGAAAACTGGTATTATAAATTCCTTTTTTGGAGTATGTATTTCTAACATCTTCCATCCTTATTCCCACCACAGAACTCATACATGACCTCTTGTAATTCATCACTACATTCAAAAATGTGAAAAATCCTGGTAAATTTAAAGTATATTAAGGTAGCTTTGTCTTTTATAGAAAAAATCTTAGGGGCAAATTTTAGAAATAGTATTAAATGAGAGACACTCTTCTAGTCTCTTTTCCCACCTCCCAGAGGAAAAACTAATTCACTTTCCCTACCACACCAAGTTAGCACAAAATCAAGAGACACCAACAGCCTTACCTGTTTGACTGCATTATCATTTCCTAAACCACAGTCTGGGCCAGAGCAGACATAAACATTGGATGGTAAATCATTATAAGCGTTCCTGCTGACATCTGAAGAATCTCTCATATTGAAGTAAAGAGCCCACAGAAGTCTTGGCTTTTCAACTTCTTCAATTTCTAAATGTAGACATAAATTTTAGTTACATCTAAAGCACAATATGCCTGCCAATTATTACAATATGTAGCCAATTACTAACAAAGCCACGACCATATACTATAGTCAGAGCTTCGTATGTAAACAATAGCAAATGTGTATTCACATACCCTAACACACGTGATACTTCAAGATTTTCAAAATTAAGAAATTTAGATTTCAAATTTGATTCTTGGAATTATTCTTATAATTAGTAAGTTATGTACTTTTAACTCCAATCGTGTTCCCTTGGATTTCTATTAATTCTGTTCACCAGTATCAAAGTATTTATGATCACATTCGTCCTTAAATGATGCCTACGAAGTGTGAAGATAACATAAATTGACGTTCTTATATTTCACATGGACAAACCAGCTTGAAAAATTATATAGTACATCAGTAACACATACAGGATTATGAGATGTCTGGAACAGACAAATCTAGAGAGATAAGATTAGTGGTCACCTATGGCTGGAGGGATTTGGGGGTTAAGAGGGGGATGAGTGCTAATGGGTATGAGGTTTCTATTTGGAGGGATGGAAATATTCTAAAGTTGACTATGGTGATGTTTGAACAATTCTGTGAATATATTGAAAAATACCAAATGCTACTATTTAAATAGGTTAATTGTATGGTACATGAATTACATCTCAATAACTATTATTAAAAAATAGTATCTATAGGACTAAAACTTTGATATCTTGATTCACTCACACTTTGTCCTAGTGGATTACAAAAGTAATGACAACCAATAAACAAATAACAAAAGTAAGGTTGTGAGACTGTAAGTCGTTTTTAGCACACACACTCTCCCTCACTTAACAGCAAGCACCTATTATGCATGCTAGGCACTGGGCTAGTAGCTGGGGCTACACAGATGAAGTAGAAGTAGTCCTTACTCTCTGGCTTTTTTAAGTTCCCTAATACAGGGTCTAGAACACAACAGACACTCAATGATTAATTTCTGAATTGATTTTATTCCTGTTTTCAGGTATAATCCAAGTATGATGTGCTTACTAAAAGGTCCGACCTTATTAATCTCAATACCTAAAAGCTTATTCCTTGTCATTTTAGTTATTTCTATGCCTCTCTGCTTTAGAAATGTTGTATTTTCTTCTGTTGAAAACAAAATATTGCTGTTATTATTGCGTACAGCATTTTCTTTAGTCTGAATATGAACAAAAATTCAAATTCTGTGCAATGGTAACAATGGATGTGCATGAAGATTACCCAAGACCATGAGGTACTTTGTAAAGAAAATCCTAGAGGTGTAATTATCTAGGTAATTAACTCTTATTGCTAAATTGGTGATCAATGTAGAGAATTTCTCAGCTAACTGCAGTATTCAGTTAACAAGAATGCCCCATTCCCCTCTTTGGGATAAAGAGAACTTTACTATATTTAACTTATATCTCTACTATAAAAATACCAAATGTTATTTTTCTAATTCATCCTGAATAGACCATAATTATCAGTGTGATAGGATGTCAAAACTCTGAATGGAAGAAGTGATCCCTTAAGATGCCTCCTTCTCATGCTAAGATCTATGGGTCTAAGGTTATCACTAGCCTCATGTAAGCACACAATAGGAGGCAAAACCTATTACCGACAAAATAAAGGAGCATACAGAACTCATATTTCACTGCTAAAACCATACGGTCCTAGTAAATTTATTGGTGAGTTTAGTTTCAGTATATCTTACAGGAAGATAATTAAATATACTGCCTGTGATTTGTGACACCAGACTCTAGAAGCACTGCAGAAAAGTGGGCTAAGGTTTGGAAATCCTTTAATATTGTGCAGTCTATTTCTAAGTATACATTAAGAGAGCTTATCCTGTATTTGATGAAGGTTCCAGCTCAAAGGAGAGCTTTCACTCAATAAAAATTGGGGAAAATGAATAATCCAATAGGTTATAGGAAGGAACTTTCAGAGAGGTTGAAGCTTTGAAAAGAAACCATGAGGAAGATGAAAAGTTGACATAGGCTGAAGATAAATGCTCTAGATACAAGGGAGTTATTAGGCTTTGACCTTAAAACATTTAATTGCTTCATCTTTCTTTGAGGTCAGCTGGAAGGGAGCGAGATAGCTGGAAAAATAACATGCAGTTGCAAAGTGCACAACTGTCAAAAAAATATTAAGGTTGCCTAGGTCTGGCTAAAAATACATGACTTGGCCAGAAGTAGAACTGGTGTTCTGAATTAGCTCATTTCATTCAATTACAAAGTGTGAAGGACTAAGCCAGTAATTGGTCATTTAGAATTAAGATCTTGGGCAAATTAAACTGGGTAAGTACAGAATAAGGTAGGCAACAGAAAATCAACAATGGCACATCAAATAAAAGCAACAAATAGTCTGTAGTTGCATGCCATGTTTAGGAAGAGAATAAACTATTTTGTATTTTAGTAGCATAGCATAGCGTTAAAACCAGGAGAAAAGGTAACTGTCAGAGCTGTGACCTAGTCTGGATACAACTAACACGAGAAGGAATTAAAGCATTTGACTTCTCAGTCTAACAATTACTTAACACCTTTACCAGCCTCCAACTTCAAAAGATGCCTATAAAGAGATTTTCTGATTTTAGGCAGTGCTGTTTTTTTTGAGGTAGGAAATGAATGAGATGGAACGAGGTAACTCCACATGCCACACACAATGGAAGGAAAAAGAGAAAGAAGATAGTGCAGTAATGATACTATATGGTAGACATTTCAAGATTCAGTACTAATAAAATTCTTGCTTCAATTGGTATCAAAAAATCTCAATTTCTTGGGTAAAATAAGAAACCAAGGGTTGAATTCTACCAGTGAGACTAAAACATAATGCTTACTCAGTGCTTTTAAGGATATTCTGGAGTCTGGAATGATTTTAATGCACATACATGAGGAGCCATCACCTATTTTTCTCACTTGCAGAATCAGGTTCATTAAGCACAAAACATCTGAAATTTCTTTGGATTAGATTAGGAAGTAGGGAAGGGATTAGAGATCTTTAATATTCTTCAAGGGGTTTAGGAGGTGGGTCTCTTGGAAGTATTAGTACAACTGCTTCTTGAAACAGAGTATATGTTTGTTAAGAACTCTAGCTGATACCTTAAATGTGAAAAAGTTAGAAGGAGAGACTCAAGGGGATACTTCATAACCCTACTGGAATTCTTAGATAAACTGGCAAACAAGTACTGTATTTGAGAAGGAAACATTATCTTTTACAATAAACAAACTTCCTTGGAAGGTGACCAGGCTTTCACAAGGGCTTATGAAGCACAGCACTACACAGAATGTAGAGCTCAAAAGGAAAACAAGCTCAAATAATGTTATTCTTTAGACACACATTTTAAAACAAAACATTACAATGCTCTAAAATATAAGGTTTCATATCACTGTCAAAAAGTTAAAACAATAATAAAAGTTATTAATCTGTGAAAACAGGGCTTTTGCTACAGAAAAGAACGTGTTTTAATGTATTAAAAGTTCATATTGCTCATGTTCCTTCTTCCTCATTTAGGCAGGAAAATGAATTGAGTTCTCTTCTCCAGGTGACTTTGCCTCTTTGACCTGCCACGGCCCAGTGCTCACTTTATCTGGTGATTCATTTTCAATAACTCCAACAGTATTTGTTCTGACATTTTAATTAAAATATGACCACTACCTCATCCTGATGATAAAAAGGCCTATGTGTCAGTGAAAACTAGCTTTTCAGTGCCTCAGTGCACCTGAGGACCCCTCTGAGCACAGTTCTTACTTAAGAATTTCACTCAGGTTCTAAACAATACATCATTTCAAAATGGGATCACTTTAACCATTAAGATTAATGTTTAAAAATATAAAATGGCTAGAGGATGCTAAGTAATGAACATGTAATTTCCTCAGCTTGACTTTTTAAAAAATAAAATGAAATTCATTTAAAAATAGCAATAATACAAGAATCAAATTTGGTGTATTATTTGGGACCATCACACAGTGAAATTACAGTAGAAAATAATGACAAATTTCAGAAATAAAGAAGGAATTCACTTTTATAGCCAATTAAAGGCAAGGACAAAATTATGATTCTATTTTAGGTTTAGGAATATTATCATGTACCTTTGCAATCAAAATTTTAACAATCTAAATATTTATATGAAACTTTCCAATGAAGAAAATGTAAATATGAAACAATTTAAATTCCAAACTAAAGCAAATTTTCAGATTGCAAGATTTTATTCAGGCAGCTCAAAAAGAAACTAATTATTCTGATACCAGCTACAGAGAAGGGAACGGTTTGTTTTCTTATGTAAATACAAATGCCCCTCTACGCACTATGTCTGTATTAAGAAAACCAATAAGACACATACGGGATAAACTAAAAGGAAATATAATACGTATGGGTAAATAAATGGTTGCCTGAACAAACATATAACATCCAAAGAAAATGAAGCTATATCAGTCAATGAGGAAACTGGCCATGATTCAAGAGGACATGCAAATCTTATAATGAAAATCACCCTCACTTCATGTAAATGAAGATCAATTTGGCTTTTTTTGATCACTTACACACAAAACACACTACAATTTGCTCTATTCACAGCTATAAGAGCAACCCTATACTGTGGGAAGTTTAAAACTTTGTGGTTGAGAAGCATTTTTCCACCATGAGTAAATAGAATAATGGCATATCTATTTTGGGAGCTAAATATTTATCACATCACCAGAATACTATGTATTAAAAGGCAATTACTAGTTAGGAAAGATTTCTACATTTGTCAATTAATATTTTAATTTTCACTCAGTTGAACTAACATTTTTTTTCATAAATGAAGATAACTTTTTCGTATAAAGGAATATAGGCTCTTTGTGTAACTGTAAAATAAAAAATATATTTAAAAAATTAAAAATTGTACATAACCCCACCAAAATTGAGAGATTTCCTGGCAGTCTTTTTTTATGCACGTATGTATGCATATAAATGTACATTTTCACACTTAGTTATATATGTTATGGGTGAGATGTGTATTTTTCCTTTATCATTACAGGGTAAATATTTTCCCACTTTTAGGAAGAGAATGTGCTCAATTATCCTAGTAAAACATGTATGCGCTGTTGTTGACTACATCATATCTCAGTTTGGATGCAGAAACTTCCCAGGTATCTAAGAGGAGTAAAGTGCTTACATTACCTTTCCATCATGAATCACTGATTATTGTTCTTACCTATCTCCGTTTCGGTATATGGAGCAAACAATTTCTGCACAACTGGTTCTAAATCTTCTCTTGCTGTTTTAGAAGATGTACAAGTCAAATGAACCAAATCTGTTTAAAAAGAATAATACTTTTGAGTTCCTGCACTATGCACTAACATGCAAGAGCCTAAGCTGGTGCCATGGAGAATACAGAGCTGAGAAAGTCATGGATCCTGCCTTCAAGGAGTTTATAATCTAGTGGTTGGGGGGAGGGACACGTAAAAACCGTTAATAATACACTATGTGTGTTAACTAAATACCTAAATTAGGTGTTAAATAATAACTGAGAGAGAGCACACTAAGACCCAAGAAGAAGTAGCAGTTGATGGTTCATTTTGAAAAACTAGCAGAGCAGAAAAACTTAGGAAATCATTTATTCATAGAAAGACCTTAAATTATAACATTCCCAAAGAGGGTGCGTAAAGGATTGCTAGGCAAAACTGTGTAAAAAAGACTGAAAGTAGAATATTTATTTACCTACAGGACACACTTCATAGTCTCCTGACAGAAGAATCCACTTATCTGAACTTTACTGATAAATTAATAACATGATTTATTCATTTTAGGGCTCTCCACCTTTGGGGGGAACACTGTTGGCTTAGTTTCAATCATACATATGCTTGAAAGTTCATAAAATAGCAAAAGTTACAGCAGTTTATAATACTTTCAGGAATTCCAAATAATTTTTCTTTTGCATTTACAGATCATGGGAACGGGATCTTAGAGAATATCTGGGTTAGAGACTGTCATGCACAAAAAAGGCCTTTCATACAAGTGAAGTATGGCAGCCTAATGCATTTAGAATTGCTAAAGGCTTGCACACAAAGTTAAAGGAAGAAAGAAAAGTTCTATACTGAAAATAACTAAAGAGATCACTCCATGGGAGAAATTCTTATGGTCCTGTAAAGGACTAAGGCAGAACAGAATAATGACAGATCGTATGTTAGAGAACAGTAGAGGTACTGAGAAATTCCTTCCCCTAAAACACCAAAAGGAAAGTACACCCACTTCTTTTCTGGAAATTTACTTCAGACTCCTAGACCTTTTTTTTTAAGCCCCATGAAGATAGTACAAAGTTTATCATGGAAGCTAATACCAGAATATTCTCATTAGTGAAATTCATTCTACATTCAATTACTCTAAAATATGTTGAAGCACAAATTGAGGGGTGGGGCTCTTAAAACATGTGAACTAAAATCAAATTGTGTAGTTTCTTTTTTTCCAGGTCCACCGAAGACAGTGATATTCTAAGAAGGTTCCTGTTTTACTAGAGACTAGTAAAAGATCTACCTTATTTAAGCAACGTTTCTACATGAAGGTAATAGTGATTCTCATTGGTTCTGGTATATCGTACGATGTATGGTACTAATTATTCCAAAAGGTGTAATAACCTACACAAAAAAATTATTCCTAATTAATTTAAATGTTTCAAAGCCTTGTTTGCTGGGAAGGGAGCTCAAACTTCCAAGATAACTGCTGAATTCAACAGGATATATAAGTACAAGTGCTGAAGTCCTTGATACAACACTCAAGAAAAACTGTCGTCTTATAAATTACCAATGTTCATGCCAAAGTTCTCGATGTTCTAGTTCCTTCCTGTTCAACTAATGTGTATTAGCAAAAAAGCAGATGAACACAAATATAAATTAAAAAGTGTATTCTGAAATGTATCTTAACGGTGAACTAGTGGTTCTGTTAAATAGGACACAGAAAAGAAATACACTTATACTTAATGAGTTTTATAGCATTCTTAGAAAAATTAAAGATATTCATAACTTGAATTCTAATGTCTGTACCTTTCTGATGAGATGCTACATTATTAACTGATCTTTAATTTTAAGTACAAACAACTATTTTCTCTCTCTATACTTCCTGCTTTTCCTGTTACCTCTATCACTTCCTTGTATAGGTTACTCTGAATTTATTGCTTCTTTTCAAATCACAGAAATTTTTTAAAAATTCAGATTAATTTCAAAATTGGTTTGTTAATCTTTGTAATTTCCCTAAGTCCTTTGCAAGGGTAAATTTCAGAGTCAGCTTTTCTCTTTTCTGTCATATACAACTTTCCCTGACAGTGGGTATTCAACAAATATTTGTGGCTAAAGATGATTTGTTTCCCTGTCATGGGCAGACAGCAAGTATTCACAAGCTGAAACACGCATACATGTGCACACAATTATATGTATGCATAAACATGCATGGGGAACACTGTACTAGTTTCTTATATAAAATGTTGAAAACTACCTGATTGACCAGCAGAGGTAAGGGAAGTATGAATGGGTAATCCACAAATTATTTAAATCTGCCTGAGAGATGCTCACAGAAACTTTAAGATGTATCTGTAAAATGCTCACAAGAATATAAATTATGTAGGATTGTACAGCTAACGTGCATGTGTTAGACACTATTCTAAACATGTTAGAAGTATTATTTCATTTCACCTGTGTGATAGCCAACTGTTCTCCTCAGTGATGATAACAGAGAAACAGTGGAGTTAAGATTTCCCAAATTCATGCAATTAGTAAAAGAGCAGAGACTAAGCTAGTATTCAAGCCTACGAAGTCTGCATCTAGAGTGCTTATTTTTAGTCACTAAATAATGTTGTGTGTAATTGTAATAATCTGTGGAAGGCATAGCCAGTCACTTAAGACAGCAATCTTCAAACTGGGATATATGCAAAGATACAGGAGGACTTTCCACAAGGCACAGTAACTATAAGGAAATCATTCTCCAGATGCTTAATGCTGCCTCTATCCACATTATTAAGCAATGAATTCCAAAAAGTTGAGTGTTTAATAATCCTTTATCAAAACTTTAAGTTATAATGGTTTAATTTTGCACAAATAACAATTGTGTTACTCAATCTAGAAGTCATTTAAAAAATACTTCAAAGCACACTGTCCTATAGTTTTTTTTATCATTAATCTACAATTACATGAAGAACATTATGTTTACTAGGGTCCCCCCTTCACCAAGTCACCCCCCACAAACCCCATTACAATCACTGTCCATCAGTGTAGTAATATGTTGTAGAATCACTACATGTCTTCTCTGTGTTGCACAGCCCTCTCCATCCCCCCCCACATTATACATGCTAATCGTAATACCCCCTTTCTTGTTCCCCACCCTTATCCCTCCCATCAGTCCCATTCTCCCCAGTCCCTTTCCCTTTAGTAACTGTTAGTCCATTCTTGAGTTCCGTGATTCTGCTGCTGTTTTGTTCCTTCAGTTTTTCTTTATTCTTATACTCCACATGCGTGAAATCATTCGGTATTTGTCTTTCTCTGCCTGGCTTATTTCACTGAGCATAATACCCTCTAGCTCCATCTATGTTGCTGCAAATGGTAGGATATGTTTTCTTCTTATGGCTGAACAATATTCCATTGTGTATATGTACCACATCTTCTTTATCCATTCATCTACTGATGGACATTTAGGTTGCTTCCATTTCTTGGGTATTATAAATAGTGCTGCAATAAACATAGGGGTGCATCTGTCTTTTTCAACCTGGACTGCTGCATTCTTAGGGTAAATTCCTAAAAGTGGAATTCCTGGATCAAATGGTATTTCTATTTTGGGCTTTTTGAGGAACCTCCATACTGCTTTCCATAGTGGTTGAACTAATTTACATTCCCATCAGCAGTGTAGGAGGGTTGTCTTTTCTCCACAAACTCGCCAAAATTTGTTTTTGTTTGTCTTTTGGATGGTAGCCATCCTTACTGGTGTGAGGTGGTATCTCATTGTTGTTTTAATTTGCATTTCTCTGATAACTAGCAATGTGGAGCTTCTTTTCATGTGTCTGTTGGCCATCTGAATTTCTTCTTTGGAGAACTGTCTGTTCAGCTCCTCTGCCCATTTTTTAATTGGATTATTTGATTTTAGTTTGTTGAGGTGAGTGAGCTCTTTATATATTTTGGATGTCAAGCACTTATCGGGTCTCTCATTTAGGAATATATTCCCCCATAGTGTAGGGTACCTTTTTGTTCTATTGATGGTGTCCTTTGCTGTACAGAAGCTTTTCAGCTTGTATGGTCCCACTTGTTCATTTTTGCTTTTGTTTCCCTTGCCCGGGGAGATATGAAGAAGTCACTAATGTTTATGTCCAAGAGATTTTTGCCTTTGTTTTTTCCTAAGAGTTTTATAGTTTCACAACTTACATTCAGGTCTTTGATCCATTTCGAAATTACTTTTGTGTAAGGGGTTAGACAGTGATCCAGTTTCATTCTCTTACACGTAGCTGTCCAGTTTTGCCAGCACCATCTGTTGAAGAGACTGTAATTTCCCCATTGTATGTCCATGGCTCCTTTATTGTGTATTAATTGACCATATATGTTTGGGTTAATGCCTGGAGTCTCTATTCTGTTTCGCTGGTCTGTGGCTCTCTTCTTGTGCAAGTACCAAATTGTCTTTATTACAGTGGCTTTGTAGTAGAGCTTGAAGTTGGGGAGCAAGATACCCCCAACTTTATTCTTCCTTCTCAGGATTGCTTTGGCTATTCAGGGTTTTTGGTGGTTCCATATGAGTTTTTGAACTATTTGTTCCAGTTCGATGAAGAATGCTCTTGGTAATTTGATAGGGATTGCATCAAATCTGTATATTGCTTTGGGCAGGATGGCCATTTTGACGATATTAAATCTTCCTAGCCAAGAGCATGGGATGAGTTTCCATTTGTTAGTGTCCTCTTTAATTTCTCTGAAGAATGTCTTTTACTTTTCAGGGTATAGGTCTTTCACTTCTTTGGTTAGGTTTATTCCTAGGTATTTTATTCTTTTTGATGCAATTGTGAGTGGAATTGTTTTCCTGATTTCTATTTCTATTGGTTAGTTGTTAATGTATAGGAAAGCCAGAGATTTCTGTGTGTTAATTTTGTATCCTGCAACTTTGCTGTATTCCGATCTCAGTTCTAGTAGTTTTGGAGTGGCGCCTTTAGGGTTTTCTATGTACAATATCATGTCATCTGCAAATAGTGACAGTTTAACTTCTTCTTTATCAATCTGGATTCCTTGTATTTCTTTGTTTTGTATAATTGCCATGGCTAGGACCTCCAGTACTATGTTGAATAACAGTGGG